ACATGTACCTACCGTCTAGACCCATAAATATAAAACATCAGTAAAGTCGATATCTCTCTCCAATCATTCAATTTTATTAACTAGATAAATATTTATTATTGAAATAATTGTGAGCTACAGTATCGACACCTCATTGCTTCTGTTACCTTTCGCTTCAAATATTTAATTCGTGTTCGATTTAACACACATTCTGCATCCCGATTCGAAATCCGCGACGGTATCCGAATCCAGAACAGTACACGCAATAAAAAATATAAAACGGTTGGTAACTAAAATCTGGAGTCGATTCCTACTCAGCATAACCCTCTGTGGGAATTAGATGCAAATTTTACTTAAGAATTGCACTTAACAAAGTGTAATTGCGCCTTGGGGATTCGGACCCCTCCGTGGATTTCGGAAAAAGGTACCAGCTATCTAACAGTGATATTTGCAGATTCTTATTTTCTTACGAAAATCACCTTTTTTAAACCATGTCTACGATTTCTTATAGAGTTCTTGTTGATGTACAAACTTAGATACTTTGCATGATTTTTTATGGACACAAATTCTTGTTTGCAGTAAGGCGTCTACAACACACAAGCTTTCCCGTTGATGGATATTGTTTACACTTTTGTTATTTCTTATGTACGGTTTTGTTCTTTTAAATAAACAAAGTTGTAGGGGTATACTTTAATGCGACAGTAACCGAGAGACACACCCTACAGATGAGAATACGGTGTTAAAATATTGGCAAGTGCCTACAATATATCAAGTTTTTGATAGTCCCGAGTCCAGTTAAAGGTGAGTTAGTATAACTTAGAATTACAAAGAGCATCAAGTTCCTTAAGTAAAAAAATCAAAACAAAACAAAACAAAACAAAACAACTACGAACAGCTACCGACGTGTTTAACGAGTTATGACGTACAATCTAATATCGAATTGGGATGCACATTTTTGACCGGAATTTTGAATGACTGCAGTTCATTTCAATCTATTGTTCTAAATTTTAAAGTTCTAATTTAGATTGTTCATGTTCCCAATTACGACTTTTTTGAATATCGTAATGACCTGTTTTATTAATCAGTATGTTTAATTTTATTAAGTAGATTATTCATTGAGAAGTTCAGAAAAGAACGAGTAAACATAAAAGGACGAATAAACAGAAAAGGACGAGTAAACAGAAATATTTGTTTATCCTTGGTGATCACCTAATATCTCATTCAAATTCAAGTAAACATGACAAACGAGGTGGATGTCCGCAATGAGATAAAATTAAGAATGGAAATGTGCAAAGTGTCAAAGAGACAAAAACCCAATCAAAGAGCAGAAAACAGAGGCTACCAATGGGTCTTCAACACAGCGAAAAAAACTCCCGCACCCGGAGGTTGGCTTCAGCTGGCCCATAAACAAAAATGTGCACTAGTTCAGAGTATCATAAGAAATACGTAATATAGTTCGGATAAATATTCATACTAGATTAACTTACATTTCTGGAAAACTTTGTTGCAATCCAAATGAAAAGGAGTTCCTATCTATTTTTTTAAGCAATTTATTATCACGAGAACCATCTAAACTTAAAATTATAAACAAGAGTTATCCACAATCCCCCTAGGGGCCCCCTCATATAGTTCCTAACGTTTCTAGGTATTTTATATGTTTTTAATGTGTTGGTATGAGCGTTCTATATGTTAATAAATCCAGAAAAGTGCTTCCTATCTACCAAACTTATCAATTTTTTTATTTTCAGAATCTAAATACAGGTGATTAAGATGATGTTGTCGGATAGCAGGACAAAATAGGATCAACCCTATAATCTATTTAAACCATCTTCACTCCTAAATGTCTCAGTTCTTACCAACTATATGTTTTTGCTGTTTTTTTTTTGTTTATTGTAACCCGAATAATTCAGTCATTATATGTTCCGATGATCTACGATTACTTCATTAACCTCGCAAGTAGGGGAGATCGATTACGGGGAGGGACTGAATTATTCAGGTTATGTTTATTGCTTTATTATCAAATTGTATCCCTTTTCTATCTCCTTTTATTCCGAAAACAGTTTTGAAATTGTTAATAACAGGATATGAATGGACAACAAATGCCAAGTGGTGAAAACAGTTCAAGTGGCCCTTTTGCTTTGAACAGGTGATTGTATAAGGTACATTTTAAAGGATGAGGGATAGTCACGTGCCATTTACCACAAATACCAACACATGTGATCCTCCCCCCCCCCCCCCCCCCAAAAAAAAAAAACCTCCAATTAGCTTGTTTTTCTAAGACCAATGCAATACACATGTCGTGTATGCAGAAAAATTCACAAAGAGAATTTTCATTCATAATTTGAGATATTTCTGAAATATTTTTTTTTATAAATATGATCAAGTGCTTTAAATTTAAGAGACCAAATATCGTAACATTAATTAACATTGTATATATCAATATTTACATGACTTTTGTTAACATGGACAATCAATCAACTGATCAGCTCCATATTTTATCTATAATTATTGTTTACTTTATTTCAACAAATGCTTCGATTTTTAAAATAAATTATTGTTATGCATTCTTCATTGATCCTTATTCAATGACTCAATGTTCTGTATGCACTTTTGGTGGATAAAGTAGGTTCTGTTTATCTCGGGTTCTCATGTGGATTCAGTTATTTGCAAATAATTCCCAAATACAGTTGAACATGCCATAACTTTATCCATCAAACACATTTTCCTTTAATATGAAGCAGAATGCAATATTTGAAGTTTGAAATTAAATTTAAAGAGTAATTCTGTCAGAAAAATAAATCAAATTGATATCAAAAAAGAGAGTCGAAAGATACCAAAGGGGTATTCAAACTCACAAGTCGAAAATAAACTGACAACGCCATCACTAAAAAAAGAAAGACCAACGGACAAACAGACAACCAACAGTACACCAAAGACCGAGCAACACAAACCCCACCAAACACTGGGGATGATCTCATGTGCTCTGGAAGGGTAAGCAGTTCCGGCCCCACATGTGGCATCCATCGTGTTGCTCATGTTAGCACAAATCCGGTGATAAGTCTAAATCTGTAGGTCACATTCGATGGAAAGGGGACGGGATTGTAGTACGACAATTGGAACATATCCGTTGTCATCTGTGAAACAGATATTCAATAATGGTCAACAAACTCGTAATATTGTCCGTACAATTTACGAAGGGATAATTTCAGCTTCACAACTTGGCACTCTTGTTTTAATTCATGTCTGGGAAACACGAAACGGTGTTTATGAGCGAGCACACTAAATGGAATTACATTTAAAAGCAGGCGATCTTGTTATTACAAACACCCAATTGCTATTCAAAATACAGACAATCTCCGTATAATGGAAAACTAACTCTGAAATTAGACTATTCCACTTTTAACGTTAAAAGCACTAGGAACCTTTGATTTATTAGTTGCTATGGGCTGGCTTTCAGTACAACAATGTTCATACCCGTTGATCGGTACTTTGAGTCTTATGTCTTTATGTTAACTCGTTTATTGATTTGTCATAAATCATGCCATTAGCTAGAGTTTTCCTTTTTGAATTGTTACACATTTTGTTATGTCGGTGCCTTGATAACTGACTATACGGTATGGTTTTGCTCATCATCGAATGTCTATTATTGATTAATTCCACATCATTTGGACTCTGTTGGATAGTTGTCTCACTGGCGATAATACCACATCTCCTTAATCTATTTAATAGTAAGTTTAGGGTGATTTGTTTTCATTGGAATTTTTGTTAGACTCAGATCGACGTCCGGACTCAGAAAGACGCCCAGTCACAATCGACGTCCCGTCTTGACGTTACACTTGCCATTATCAACTAATCTTCATTCAATTTGACATCGCGTATTATCAAAACAAAATACGAAACATTTCTCTTGATATTGATATACACTATGGTTTAATAATTCATTCCCAGATTGGTATATTTTTGTGTTTGCTGTAGTGATTGTTTATCTTTGTATTATGCTGCTTAAAAAGGCGACATTGAAAATCACACATGCAATATGTGTTATTTAGCTGACTTATCGAAAGGAACGTCATAGTAGACAACATTTTAAACCCGAACTGAAGTAGCAATTAAAACATCAAAAAACCATGGATTTGGTGTAAATAACAACAAGAAAGCAACCGACAACAAATTCATGGAATATGCATTGTGTAAGGTCTTTGGGTCTTCGTTTATATATGTGAACCCTGTATTATAGGGTTAGGTTTTAATTTACTGTTAAGGTCGGGTTCTAGGGTCAGGACTAGCGTCAGGGTTCTGTATGGTGTATGATAAGAGTAAGGGTAAGCTATGTGTAGTTCTATATTGGTAATGATGTTTGTGACCACTAAAGTAAATGAAGGACCAAATTTACTGTGCTGGTCCTTGGTTGTGGTAAAACGAAGTGTCGGCACCAAAAAATCACCCCGATAGATTCATTTCGTATTCCTGTCCTTTTTTTATTTTTCCAATACACATACGTCATCCAGCCTTGAGCCTTACTCCATTATTACATTATCGCAGAAAGTATAGACAAAGTACGTCGATTTGAGAATCTAAAAAAAAATACTTCGTTTAAAAGGACATAGAATCGGTTGTCAATTTGGAATCTTACTTTACCATTACGTCAAATTGGACCTCGAATTTAGGAACGGACGTCGATTAAAGATCGGAATCGACCCGGATTTGAGATACTGAGATCGATTAGAGATGGAATGCCGAAATGAGACTTACATATATACAAAAAAAATAAAAAAAATAGGACGATAACATGTTGTTGAAAATACGCAAGTTTTGTAGATAACATAGACGTATAGACCACCTTCGAGTTATGTCCTTCACCGGAAAAAAATCGTCAATTTTGCACGCCTTTATGACGTCATTTACCAGATAGAGGGGATTGCCTGTATCCCTGCACTATTAAAGTTCATCAAGCGTCTTCGTGATCATCATTATGCGGGATGAACTAGAAATAATGTTTGTTCCGTAGGTACTTAATAAAATTTAATGATCTAATAATTAAATTGATTTATTGCATTCAAAATACATGTATTTGTTTATTGAGTTTCGATTGTACAGTCAGTCCATTGTTTACGGTTTGCCATGTAAATCTTTACAACCATATATTTAAACATACGAAAGAATATGCTTTGAAGCGCCTCGTGGACTTTGTCATATATAAACACGTGTTCCCGCTCAATTTTCATTCAATGATTATTTCTCAACAGAATTGCACAAGGATAGGACCAGAGCGTAAATAAGATAAGTTGGTTAAGTTTATCCGTTATACTTTAGATATGTTTCCTTTTATTCATTTTAATTCACTATAATAATTTGGTTTATATTTAAAGAGCAAACCTTTTTTACCTGTGAGTTGACATTCTGTGACGATAAAGTAAAACGGGTAACTTTAAGTTTAACACGTGTTCGCATGTGTTCGTAAAATTATATGTTTCTCTTCACGTTCATTATTAAATTAATGAATTGTTTAATGTCACTTTAATTAGATTTATATATATATATGTGCTTATTTATGACCATTCAATTTCATTTACTTATGGTTGTTGCATTTAATTCACAGTTCTTTAACAAGGTATTTTTATCGGTAAGTTTTTGTTTCTATTTTACCATAGTAGCGATAAATATTCTCATGTATAATTAGCTATGAAATCCTTGTGTAGGCTTGCTGACAAATATACGCATAGTTACATTATTTTAATCTTTACCTGCATATAATTCAGGTACTAAATTGACACTGAAATACCGGTTATTCAAGTTGCGGAAGGCCCGATTTTTACAAATGTGACGGCATTTATTTAATTATAAATACAACTGCTGTTGAGTTTGCTGCATGTTATTGTGCATATAAAGCTTTCTTTAAATTTGATTCAATAAATTGATAATGATATTATACCTGTTATGATGTTATGGAACACACGATTATTACAAATGTAATTGCATTTACAACTGCCGTTCAAATTACTGCTGGTTATTATACACTTATAGATGTATTAAGAGGCGTACATTATATACACATTTATAATAGTATATATTTTAGGTACGGAGCATTTTATCTATATGCAGCCGAGGCATCAATGTAATGTTTCATAAATTAAAACATCTTTATATATTTATAAAAACAATATACTTATAATGACTTCATTTTATAAAAGAATAGAAGAAATGAAGTAAGCCGGAGATTAAGACCAAAGGTAAACAACGTTGGAGTTCAACGACCTGTTCCTCGTGAAGTACCAGCACCAGAACAGGTACCCGCTCCTGAGGAAGTTGTCCGAGTGGTAAACAGAGGAAGACACAGAAAAAGAAGGCGTGCAGCGCCCGAGCTTCAACAACCAGATCAACCTGTGGAGCCCAATAATCAACATCCACCTCAGAAACAACTGAAAACTACGGCAGTTCACGCTCAACCGGGTAATACTTTAAATACTACTGTCCTTTGTTTATACCATGTTCTAATGAAATTGACATAATTATTTCTCAGCAAATAATAGAGAAAATTCGGAATTGTAAAAATGTTGATTTTGGTACTCTTCTTCAACAAAATAGTCAATATTATAGTAGTTTGGACCAGAAACAAAGTGTAATGGTTAAAATTGGAATGCTTGTCATTTCTCATTACCCTTCAAAGGACAATACAATAAATAACATTGAATTATGGACTGAAGCATTTGAATTTTTTTTTTTTTTTTTTTTTTTTTTTTTTTTTTTTTTCTAAAATACTTCTTCAAAAACATGCTAGCTTAGCACAAGACTTGTTTACATACATGTTAATCATAAGAGTTTTTATATCAGATGCACATTTTGACAGAGTTTACCCGTATGATAGAAAATTTAGATTAAGTGTATCACTAAAACACTCTAAATCTTTGTCTGAGATTGATGACTTTCTTTGGTTGAAATTCATTGTAAAGGGATCGCAAGGCACACCTAATCCTGTAGTCTGCCAGGCTAACTTACAAAGACATTGTTATGATTATAACTTTAAAGGTTATTGTCAGAAATCTCAGTGTTTTACAGACATAACTGTATGAAATGTTCATTACAACATCCAGTCTTATGTGTTAGATTTTATAGCTTACAAAGTAACCAAGGTTATCATAAGGGATCATTGATGCCACCAGTGTTTATCCAAAATAGATCTCATATGTCTAACCAGTTTCGACAAAACAGGCCTTCATTTGTTCAACAATTAGATATAGGTCACCAATAAACACAAGGTATTTCGTCCCTAGATTTAATCAAATGACATATAGTTAACTTTTCTTTCAGAATTGTCAAAGGATAAATATGATATTTGGAAGAAGGGACATTCACCTATTAATATTGAACAATTAAGATTATCCTAATGAACAGGACAAACAAATTTTGTTTATTGGTTTTAAATTTTACTGCTTTTACTACTGGATTTAGATTGAATCATAATTGACCAAGATTTCCACTTGAATCAAAAAATTAAAATCTGTTTTGACAAATCCTATTGGAGCTAGATGTAAGATTGAATCTGAAATATCGTTATGAAGAATAGCAGGTGCTCTTTGTAAGAGACCAATATCTAATCTTAGATATTCTTCTATTGGATTAGTTAAAAAAAAACAATAAAAAATAAAAAAAAAACAGGTTTTTCGTCTGATTACCCATTTATCATATCAGCCATTGAGCAGCGTTAACGACTTCATCGATGAAAGGTTTACCTCTGTTAAATATTCTTCATTTGATAATGCTGTTGATTACTTCCGGTTTATACATGAGATTTTGACTAACTTGGTTTTAAAATTGTAAATGAATACTACATAGACGAGGCAATGACATTGGGCTGCTCAATTTCATATGCTAAGTTTGAGAAGTTTTTAGCCTTTTTGAATTGGTTTTAAAAATAAGTCTGGTTTAAATAATATAGACCACTATTTGGAAGAATTTTAATATTGTTGGCTAATCAGATTCTGATGAATGTGAACAACTGATGTTTCAGAATGATGACATTTGCAAAGATATTGTAGTCTCACTTGCAAAAAAAAAAAAAAAAAAAAAAAAAAATGAAGGTCCATCTACACTGATTGAATATCTGGGTCTTACAATTGATACTGTTAATATGCTTGTTTAAATTCCACACGAAAAGATTGAAGAACTTTTAAACAGAATTAATAATTTATAAGCCATGAAAAAAGTAACGTTAAAAGAATTGCAGTCAATATGTGGTTCATTAGTTTTCTGCACGAAGGCTATACCTGCTGGAAGAGCGTTTAGTTGTATTCGACCATGGACAAAGTGTCAAAACCGTTTCACTTTTATCTATTGATATGGAAATTATTTTTGGAACAGTATAATAGGATTTCGTATTTAAATGATATAGGATGGATATCAAATTTTTATTTTGAACTATATACAGATACTGCTGGTGAATAATGTAAAGGGTGTGCAATTTATATTAATGGTCAATTGAGTGGCATAAAGAATGTAATAGTTCAGAAATAATTGAAGATATAACATATTTTGAAATCATTCCAATAATACTGGTTTGATAAATTATACAAGAAACATACTTTTCCCATTGATAACCTGGCAGTAGTGAATGTTTTAAACAAAATGTCAAGAAAATATTAACTAGTTTCGTCCGTTTTTAATTTAATTATTCACTGTTCACTAATTGGTAATTTTCAGTTTAAAGCTGTTCACATTTTGTCAAAAGACAATGCAATTGCTGATGCATTATCTCGTGCAAATTTTCAGAAATTTCAATGTCTGCACCACTTGACAGCATTTTTCCACATCCAATTCCAGTGGAGTTCTGGAACCTTTTAAAGATGAAGTGAATAAACTTTTAAGGCAATCTGTTTCTTCAAATACAATGGATGTGTATGAAAATGCATCTATTCATTCATAAATTTCTGACCTGTTTTCGAATACAGGAAAGTTGGCCACCTCCTGTTAATCATACAATTAATTTACATAGCTTTCAAAAATAGTTATTCCTATAACCTTCAAAAACATATCTATCAGGAATTAATCATAAGTTGAAAATGAATAATTGAAATGATTATAGCAAATCATTTATTTTGAAAATAATGTTAAAAGGTAAAAAAGTAAAAGAAAATCTATTACTGTTGATGTATTAAAACAACTTGAATTAATTCTTCAATGTTTGTAAATGTTTAGGGGAGAATTTGCTTAAGCCTTTTTTGGATTTATGAGAATTAGAGAAATCACAAAACTGATAATCATGTTTAAAAAAATTCAGATATTAAATTTGATGATATTAATTCTAAAGTTTTTGTTACAATTATGTCTTCTAAGAAGGATCAAATTGGTTGTTCGACAAGTTTAATGTTGTCTTCAAATGATAATGATGATGAACATTGTGTTGTCAAAACATTAACAGATAACGTACAGTTACATACAAGTTGATGTGGGCAGGAATGTACGGTATGTCACTATATAATTTTGTACCAATAGAAGAGAATGTGATACATGGTGGGGGTTTACCAGATGCTGTTTTGCTTCACTGTTGTGGCAATGATATTAGACTTGTAAACTGTGCAACAACTTTTATTTTATATTTAATTTATGCTAGATATAGTTGGACGTATGGTGAATGGAAGTTAAATTAATTTTTCAAGCATATTACCAAGGTTGAAATGAAGATGTTCAAAAGATTTAAAAGCAATGGATGCAACCAGGAAACGTACAAATAGGGGAGTTAAATCACATTTAATTAAAACTGGGGATTACACTATAATTCATTCTGATTTTGAAGTCAAACTTTTATCTTTGGTTAGTCATGATGGAGTACATTTATCGTTTATTGGCAATGATATAGTTTTGAATTCTTTTCAAACTGCTTTAGAACAATTTGATAATATACCTGAATTCTGTTTATCCGATGCATGAATGATGTTTGTTTATATTTGTTGTATGTTGAAATGAATAACAACTAGTTGATATATTTTCGTTTAATTTATGCTGCTTATTCAATTGTCATGGCGGATTAGCATTTGATTGAGAGTTCAATAAAATGCCAATTTTGGCAGTGATTTATTCAAATATTGTTCATTGAGCTGTTATGGATCTGCCCAGCAGCTAGAAATTATTATGCATTTACTGTTGGTTTTACCTTCAGTGACCAATTGGCATCAAGTTTTAACTTGTTGGCCAGTTTGTTGATGTTGGTTTTTGTTGGTTGATATTGTTGAATATTGTTGAATAAATGCCATGACAAATAATAAGCCAAATTTCAATTGTTTGTTGTTTATATTATTCTGGCGAAGGAATGAAACAAAACAAATCTATAATTGTATATTTATTGCACAAATTGAATATGCAATAATAAAATTTAATGATCTAATAATTAAATTGATTCATTGCATTCAAAATACATGTATTTGTTTATTGAGTTTCGATTGTACAGTCAGTCCATTGTTTACGGTTTGCCATGTAAATCTTTACAACCATATATTTAAACATACGAAAGAATATGCTTTGAAGCGCCTCGTGGACTTTGTCATATATAAACACGTGTTCCCGCTCAATTTTCATTCAATGATTATTTCTCAACAGAATTGCACAACCCACCCTCCCTCCCTTTAATAAACAAAATTGCTGCTGTTTTAAGTTTATTTTTCAGATTACATGTTAAACAGATCCACATGTATTGAATATTTCAATTAGATTGTCATATATCATCAAAAATGTCGGACGTTTCAACATTCATCGGCAGATTCAATGAAACCTGAATATTCAAGAAATTTGCAGTAATAATAAAAAAAAAAAAATGTCTATCATCATGGCATTACGTTCTATATGGAAAGTGCGTTGGATGTCATCATCACATTAATTCAACTGGCAGTGATTTATTCAAATATTGTTCATTGAGCTGTTATGGATCTGCCCAGCAGCTAGAAATTATTATGCATTTACTGTTGGTTTTACCTTCAGTGACCAATTGTCATCAAGTTTTAACTTGTTGGCCAGTTTGTTGATGTTGGTTTTTGTTGGTTGATATTGTTGAATATTGTTGAATAAATGCCATGACAAATAATAAGCCAAATTTCAATTGTTTGTTGTTTATATTATTCTGGCGAAGGAATGAAACAAAACAAATCTATAATTGTATATTTATTGCACAAATTGAATATGCAATAATCACATTTCCCTAATGACAGCAGTGCTGATGAGCAATTATAAGAATTCGATTTGCCGAATAATTCGTACAATATAGCATCATATTTTTCCAACCACTCGCTAAACTTGGTAACGGAAGTGACGATGCCCCTAAACGCACAAACGATGTTCACTAAAACCAAAGTTTTTGATGGAAATGCAACGAACTCGAAATGTGTCTATTAATACTTAGGCAGCTTTTGGTGATGCCTTAACACCATAGACTGTGGTTCAAATCAATATATACCAAGCCTGTTGTAATAAGCTTAAGTTTCATTCGGTTAAAAGGTGTGATCATAGTTTTTATTGAATCGGAGCTAAAGTTTTTTTTTTCTTTTTGTTTAAGTAGTATTTTATCTAATGGATCTTCGATAATTTGATTTAATTTCAAACGCAATCATTGGGTGTAACATATCTAAACAAAATTAGTAGTGACTAATCAAATGGCAATTTCCGTTGCAGTGAAAAGATTTTGACATACACTCGATATTTTGACTATAATTGCTTAGATATTGTTGATGGGTTTATTTAGACACACTTATTAGTTTTACATTTTA